CCTTTGAGCAGATCTCTGTCAGGAAGAGGCTTGCAGTTATTTAGACACCCAGCTCCCCGTTTGTCTGCTATCATCTCCTCTGCAGGGAAGGCTGTCCATGTGATGGGTTCCCAGCAGCTGAGATGCATAGAGAATGGAGAAAGCCGTAGAGGGAATGACTCTGACTTAGATTCATTCGTGGTTATTTATTTATTTTTATTTATTTATTTATTTATTTATTTATTTATTTATTTATTTATTTTCCCTTCCTGGTATAAATTGTGACCCAAGAGTTGCTTTCAGTTCTATTCTTTGGCTGCCTGAATGAAGCACAGGCTGTTTTCTAACACTGTTACCCATCATGCCCTTGGGTCCATCAACTCTGCAACCCCTGTGAGAGATGATGATAAGTATCTAAGCCAAAGGTTTCTAGAAATATTTTTGCAGTCGAACAGAATACTCAATCAAGATGACAAGGTGTTTTCAAGAAATAAATAAAGGTGAAAGATTTGTATGATCCAATTGAGAAATAAAACAATTATTTAAAAAACATAAAGTGTAGAAAATTAAAATAAAAACTTTAAAACAAAGAAAGATATACAGCACTGATACCTAACTTTCTCCTCTTAGCTGCACATACATGAACTGACCCCAGTGGTCGGTCTCCTTGGCTGCCCAGCCTCTCTGGCTCTTACCCAGGCTTTGTGTCTGCTGCCCGCCACCTCCACCTCCTACTCCACGTGGAGGTTACTGGCCAATCCCCAAGGCTCAGCTCAGAAAGCACTCCTCACCTCTATTTCCCTTCCCCCCACTTCTGTCTCACATCCCGTAAAGTACCAAGTTCCATTGATTCATTTCCCTTGTGCTTCCAGAATTGCTCTCCAGCCCAGCTGCCATCTCCTGGACGAGCCACCATCGTCCCCATGTTGGATCGCCTGCGCCTGGTCGCTGGTCCCACTCGCCCTGTTCACTGTTTGTCTTGTGTCTGGGGGGTTATAACGTCTTGGTACCCCTCCTGGGGTCACAGAGCTCTTTGAGGGCACCCCTTTATCTTAGCAGCCCTCCATTATCAGTGCAGTGCCCGTCACATGGAAGTCAAAATACCTTGATTGCATTACTTCTGGGCTGCCTGACGAGGCTTGGACCTGGCTGTCCCGGGCAGGCATTTTCATGGTAGGCCTTTGGTCACTGCCTTCTGTCTCATTCCGAGAAGTGTAAGACCAGGCATCAGATCCCATTTTTCTCTCCAAACATCCATCCCTATGTATAACCGTCAGATGTGTCAGGGACAGATGTGGGAATTTGGTGAGTTCTCTTGTCGAATGTGCTTTATGAGGGAAAATGACATTTGCAGAAGGGTTTAAGCCTGTCTGATTTTTTTCAGGGGCCCAAAGCCTTTTCCCGCCCCGTCTGCCACATGCCCTCTGGTGGAAGCAGTAGTGGGTGACAGCAGCAGAGGACTGGCCTGGTGCACAGCTCTGGAGCCTTGCTTCCAGGGTCCTGCTGTGGGGCCACCTCATACCTCTGCCGGCCCTGCCTGAATGCCCTGTAGACTTGGGAAGTGCCCACGTACCTGAGACTTGGGTTAAAGGCCAAGATTCGAAGGCACCTTCCTTCCTGAAAGAAGAAAGCCCATCCCTGTCTCGTACCATATGTCATGTTTGCTTAATTGTCATGATTGCTCAGATGATGAAGATGAGGGCATAAGGATGGACATCTGTAAATGCAGGAGCAGCCCCCTCCTGCCCTCCTCCCAGGCAAAGCTTTGTCAAAGGTCTCGTTTCTGTCCCTGTGCCATCTGAAATTTGCCTGGGCACATGAGATAGTCCTCCACATGCTGTCAGTGCATGGCTGGCAAGACAGAGCCAGGAAGTGGGAGGCCATAGGTCCACTGCAGGCTTTCATCAATGTCATGAGTCCCCTGTCACCAGAGATGGTGAAGTTGGCTGGGGTGGTCAGTGCCCAGTGCCCAGGAGTGACGGAGGGCATCGGCAGGAGGTCAGATTAGTTCTCCCCGAGTCTCTTCTAATTCTAAATCCTGGTGAGTTCCAGTAATGACCCTCTGTCACACACATGGGCCCTCTCCTTGCCCTTTGTGGGGCTCCCAGAGGCAGGCAGGAGTGGAAAAGAACCTGCCTTTCCTTTCTTGGAACAGCTTCCCGGTTTCCTTGTCTTACCTCAGGTCATCTGTTCCAGAAGCCTCATGACTGCTCTGTACATCAGGACATTTCCTGTACTGTCATTAACTTTCTGGGCTGTTTGGTCCCCTCTACTGGGTCAGGAGCTCCTTGAGTAAAGCAAGAAACTGAGGGAGACTTTACTTATCTTGTAGGGGACGGGCCACAAAGCTTTATGAATGAGGAAGCAAAGTAAACCACAGAGAAAGATGGTCTACGAGGGACAGTAACATCCTCAACAATGTCTCTCTCAAGCTGTACCCAATGGAGGAGAACCACTGTCTCCCACCCTACCTTCTACAGGCTGCTGGCCCTGATTGGGGTGGGGGGGGGGCTGCTGGCCTATTGTGCTAGCAGTGTTGGGGCTCCCGCAGGTGAGTGTGGGGGATGCCAGGGCTGAGGAGCTCCCAGCTCCCAGGGCTCTCTCCCCTACACCCACTCCTAAAGCTGGTGTGGGTGGAGCCTACCATGACGAGCAGGGCTTTGGCAGGCCTTGGCCAGTAGTAGAAGTTATATTTTGGGGGCCTGGATCCAAAGAGAAAGGCCTGAGAGCATCAGGAACAGAAGAGGAGTTGGCCAGCTCTGCCCAGCCTGTACAACCTCTGAGCCCCTGCCTGGGCAGGAGTCACCACGTTTGAGAGGGAGCGGCACAGGCACTGGTGGGTCTGGGAGACATAATCACTTCCGCCAGAAGCCTCGAAGCTTGTCTTCCTGACTACCCACTGTGGCCCTTCTACCTCCAGTGGGCCCATCTCCTGTTTCCTGCCCCAAACTGAGTTTGGCTTGTCCGCAGAATGTTCCAGGNGTATAGTTGCTCGTAGTATTTTCTTAGAATTTTCTGTATTTCTGTGGTATCTGTTGTCACTTCTCCTCTTTCATTTCTGATTTTATTAATTTGACTCCTGTCTCATTTTTTTTCTTGGTGATTCTGGCTAAGGGTTTCTTGATTTTGTTTATCTTTTAAAAAACCAGCTCTTGGTTTCATTGATCTTTTGCATTGTTTTTTTGGTCTCTATTTCATTTATTTCTGCTCTGGTCTTTGTTATTTCCTTCCTTGTACTCCCTTTTGGCTTGTTTTGCTCATCTTTTTCCAGTTCCCTTAGGTGTAAAGATAGTCTGTTGATATGAGATTGTTCTTGTTTCTTTAGATAGGCCTGCATTGCTATGAATTTCCCTCTAGGACTGCTTTTGCTGCATCCCAGAGATTTTGGGTTGTGTTTTCATTTTCGTTTACCTCAAGGTATCTTTTGATTTCCTCCTTGACCTCACTTTTGACCCAGTTGCTATTTAGTAGCATGTTATTTAGCCTCCGTATATTTGTGTGCTTTCCAGGTTTCTTCTTATAATTGATTTCTAGTTTCATAGCATTGTGGTCGGAGAAGACGCCTGATATGATTTCGTCTTCTTAAATGTAATGAGACTTGTTTTGTGGCCTAACATGTGGTCTATCTTGGAAAATGTTTCATGTGCACTTGAAAAGAATGTATATTCTGTTGCTTTGGGGTGAAATGCTCTAAAAATATCAATTAAATTGTGCTGGTCAAAAGTGTCATTTAAGTGTTAATTTTCTGTCTGGAGGATCTGTCCATTGGTGACAGCAGGGTGTTGAAGTCCCCTTCTACAATAGTGTTACTGTTGATCTCTGTCTTTGTCAGTATTTGTTTTATATGTTTAGGAGCTCTCATGTTGGGTGCATAGATGTTTACAAGGGATATGTCCTCTTGTTGGATCGATCCCTTTATTATTATGTAGTGCCCTTCTTTGTCTTTTATTGTAGTCTTCATTTTAAAGTCTATTTTGTCTGAAATAAGTATAGCTACTTCAGCTTTTTTCTCATTTCCATTTGCGTGAAATATCTTAATCTATCCCTTTATTTTCGGTCCATGTGTGTCTTTAGATCTGAGATGAGTTTCTTGTAAACAGCATAGGCATGGGTCCAGTTTTCTTATCCACTCAGCCACTCTATGTCTTTTGATTGGAGCATTTAGCCCATTCACATTTAAAGTGATTATTCATGGGTGCATATTTATTGCCATTTTGTTATTTGTATTTCTGGTCTTCCTGGGTTAGCTTGTTTTCTCCTTTCTTCTGTTTAAAAAAGCCCTTTTAAAACATTTCCTGCAGTGCTGGCTTGGTGGTAATGAATACCTTAAGCTTATTCTTTTCTGAGAAGCTCTTTATCTCTCCTTCATTTATAAGTGATAGCCATGCTGGGTAGAGCAATCTTGGTTATGAGCCTTTATTTTGTGTCACTTTGAATATTTCCTGCCACTCCCTTCCGGCCTGCAGAGTTTCTGTTGAAAAGTCAGCTGTTAGTCTTATGAGGAGTTCCTTTCTCTGTAACCTGCTGTCTTTCTCTTGCTGCATTTAGGATCCTGTCTTTGTCTTTAACCTTTGCCATTTTTACTATGATGTGTCTTGGTGTGGACCTGTTTGGGTTCAGCTTGTTTGGAACTCTCTGCACTTCCTGGNGGAGGTCCCACCTTTATTCCCCCTTCTGAGTGTTACAGTGTTATTAAGCTCTGCTCATCTTCTGCCTCAGAGGAGGCAGCAGGCCAGGGACCTGGCCAGGGGACCACACTGTCCTTGACCCTTTCCTAGGGTCTGGCCACATCTCTACCCAGAAAGGACCTGTGAGCCTCACCAGCCCTGTGCTGGCAGTTGAAGCTCAGAGAACCACGGCCAGGCCTCCTTGGGATGGACAGGCCTGGACCCAGAGACCACACTACCTGTGGGCCGGGCCTCACCTGGGGGCTCAGTTCCTGTGCTCTTGGCCTGGATGAAGCTGTCAATGTCAGCCTCCACGCTGCAGCCTTCCAGTGTCACCCGCACCTCCTCATAGAACTGAGAGCAGAAAAGAGCAGAGGCTGAGGGGCCAGGCCTCACCTCAATGCCCACCTTTGTCAAAGTCCTGCCCCTCTATGGGTCTGAGCTCTGGCCAAGGGATCCCACCCCACTAGCTTCTTCAAAGGCCTTATGTGCACAACTCAGTGCTTGGATTTGCGGGTCTTGAGGCATCAGAGCCCTGGCTGGCAGTGTCTTCTGGTTCCCAAACACCTGTGTACAGGTCCTATGCAAGGGACTTAACTCACTCCTGTTCTCTTCGGCAGACACTGTTTCCCCCATTTTATAGACAAAGAAACTCAGAGAAGGAAAGCGACTTGCCCAATGTCACAGAGCAAGAATTCGGAGCAGCCAGGCTCTGGTTCCAGTATGAAAGGATCCACAGCCTACCCTCCTTCTTCTGCCACAAGGAGGCCGCCAGGTGGGCTCAAGTCGTTTGTGGGGGAACCCAAAACCCTACAGCCCATGGGTGGAGGGGTCAGGCAAGGAACCACAGTGAACATCGGGGAGTAAGGGCTGCCTTGAGAGAGAGCTAATGGCTCTGGGGTTGCATTAACAGAGGTCAGAGACCCTAGTGGGGAGGTGGTGGCCCCTCTGCTGGGTAGGACCCACCCCAAGTACCCAGCACGTAGAGCTCATTAAGGGAACTAGGACACATAAGAGATGTCTGGGGGACAGAAGAGGGACTGAACCTCTGCTTTTGCAAATGTCCAGCCTGGAACAGAGCAGCCCGGGGTCCTCCAGCCTCTCTGCTGACCTTGGAGGGGCTGTGTCCCCTTACCTTCCTGACTCCCGTAAAGGGAGCATGTATATACTCTGACAGCAGAGCCGAGACCCTGGAACAGGGGTGAGCAAAGCAGGCAAATGCCAGGGTAACCACAAAAGCAGGCTTCCAGACAGAGGCCATAGCCTTGCAGTGGTACTGAGCTCCCTGTCCTGGGATCCCTGGAGGCTGAGGCCTGCAGTGTTTGTTGACAGACATAGATGGACCTGGGCATGCTGTTGCCCGGAAGCTGCCTTTTCTTCACGGCCCTACCCCGCCATCTCACTTGCTACCCATCCCCACCCTGGGCCCCAACCTCGTCATCCTTGACACACTGCATGGAGAGCTGGTTGCAGTGCACCCACAGGGCGTTGCGGAGGATGGTCAGCCGGTCAAACTCTTGCAGCTGGAAGGCCTGGGTGTGCATGGGGGGGGAGGGAGGTTGAGAAGTGAGGAGGCAGATTCAGGGCCAGGCCAGGTTGGGCCCTACTCACAGCTCAACTGGAGCTGAGAAGTCAGACCTGCCTCTGCTGAAAGCCAAGTCTAAAAAGACCCTTCCTGGGGGTCCCCACCCTCACCTCTGCGCCAGCACCTGAGGCTTCTGAGAGGGAGGTTGAGTTGCCTGTGGGTTCCTGTCCCACCCTCCTTCCAGGCCCCACCACACACTGAAAAGGCCCTGGGAGGGTGTCTGAGTGGAGCACAGGACCTGGAGGCCTGAGGCCTGTCTCCCAGGCCCTGTTCATCAGCAAGGTCCAGGGAAGCTACAGGTTTTGTTTGAGCCTCAGTTTTGGCTTCAGCTCAAAGGGGTGAAGGATGTCTGCCTGAAACAAAGAGACCCAGGGCACAAAGCCAGGCTGTGAGCTCCCTGGGGGCAGGGACCCAGCACAGGGCCCGGGAAATGAGTGCACGAGTGAACGAATGAAGGAATGGGGTCTTCTTTCCACCCCACCGTTTCATGTTCCCCCATGAAGCAACTGGAGCAGGAATGGGAGACTTTCACATTTTACAGCTGGGGGAACTGAGGCCCAGGGTCACTCACCTCACAGGTAGTCTGGTGCTCCTGCTCCCACTCAGCCCGCACCTTCTCCAGCTGCTCCACGTTCTGCCTGTATACCCGCTCTGGAAGCACAGCTGGCCCTCAGGGAGGCCAGCAGCCCCCGCCCCCACCACCCACCCCTTTGCTCCTGAAGGGCCCCTGCCTAGAGAGACCTGCCCTGGCTGCTGGTACCACATCTGGTGACTTGTCAGGACCACCCACCTGGTACTGCTCATTTTGGGGTGACTCTTAGCTCCCTGTTGTGCTCTGAGCAGCCCAAAGCTGTGGAGTACAGCCCACATAACCAAGGTCAGAGTCCAGGCCTCTTGCCATCGCCAGGTCCCACCCTCTCATTTTCTAGAGGGGAAACTGAGGCTTGGAGAAGGTAG